AGGCTTGAGATGGATTAATGATTGTACATTGAGCATTGACCCCCCTATACTGAATTTTATTGTTGTTAACAACCATTTGATCAATAAATATGAGAGATGCCCTCTCAAAAATAAATAAATAAATAAATAAAATAAAAAAATAAAAAAATAAAATATATTATGAAGTCAAAATAGATATCTGTATTTTGAACTTTTTCATACTTAGAAATAAAACTCAGGTACGAGTCCCATAATAGTAGAGAGTGTGTGTGTGGGGTGCAGGATGTGAGGCAGGAAACATGTTAGCATGCTAAGGTTCTTGTCTTGTTTTGGGAGAGAAATGGAGACTGATTGGCTTTTTTAAAGAGCTTTTCCACAGTAAAAGTTTAAGTATTAAAAGCTTAATAAGAGTGCCAAACTGGAAATAACCCTAATTTCCACCAGCAGGTGAATGGGTAAACAAACTGTGATGTATCCATACAATTCCTACACAGAGATAAAAAGGAATGAATGACTGATACATGCAACATGAATGAATTTCAAAGCATTATGTGAGTGACAGAGAAGCTAGACACAAAAGAATGCACACACAAATCTATTTATAGGAGACTCTGAAAAGGACAAATCTAGTCTTGAGTGACAGAAAGTGTATCAGTGGTCACTGGGACCAGGGGCGGGTGATTGATTGGGACGGAACGTAAGAGAACTTTTTTTGAGGGAAGGAAATGTTCCATATCTTGACTGTGGTGATGGTTGTATGTGTATATAAATATATCAGAATTAATTGAACTGTATACTTAGTCTTGTATACTTACTGTACACTTAGAATGGGTACATTATATTTTTTATAAATTATATTTCAATAAAATTAACAAGATGAGCCATCAGACTTCTAGAAATAGGAAATATAACTTTCAAACCAGTAGACAGGAGATAGTGAAAGAAAGAGAAATGAATCAGAAAGCAAGAAAGGGGAGCCTCAAGTGGTACCAGCCTGAACCAGAAGCAGCATAAAGGGATACCTGGCTACAGTGTGGAGCCCAAGTCCAGAGGACCGAGCCAGGGTGCATAGAGCGAGAAATACAGCCTACAGGACACCAGGCAGAACCAGCCTGGCCATAGGCACTGTTTAAGCTCCCCTGGGGATTCCAGTGCAATGCGAAGGTGGAGGTCAAGGATAAAGAGGTACAGAACACCTGTGAGCACCAGGTACTCAGGGGAGCCTTTCTCGAGAACAATTGTCTCCTCTCTCTTCTGTGCCTCCTCCCCACCTGACTGCCCCTTTCCAGTAACTCTGTCTCTTCTCCTCTGCCTTACCCGTATTTTCCTACCCTTCCCTTTTCCTGACCATTCCCCCAACCTTGCCTCCTTCTACCATTTACTTTTCCAAAGTTTTCCACCTAGTGTTGGCAATTAGACTTAAAAAGCCTAACTAAATGGCTTTCTATTATATACCTTCAAAACCAAAATCTGACTAAAGTAAATGGTTTTTAATATATGTGGACCCTTATTTGGTTAATATTTCCTGTGCCTCAGTTGTCCTGATTGGAAAAAACTAATCCCCATCCCTGAACTCCAGGTGACCAGCACACCCACAACTCTCAGGACAGCCCTAAACAGACTTCTCTCTCCCACAGAGAAAGTCCTGGACTCCCTGCCCCGCCTGTTCTGTCCCTCTACATTTTTACCCCCTGTAGGGGGATGTTGAGGTGAAATGCATGTATGCATGATTAAGCAGGCAACCCTCCTTTCCTCCAAGAATGGATCCATCTGAAATAAGGGAGCCTTCATTCAAACTCTTGCCAAAAGAAGGGAGTGGCAGTGAGGCAATGAGCTGCATGGTTTGAGCTCTGGAGAAGGGGGTGCACCTATGCCAACCAGCCACCTGCCAAAACCTGAGACACCCCTCAGGGCTGCACCATCCAAGGAATGGAAAAGTTTCTTCTTCTTCTTCCTCTATCTCTGTTTCTCCTTCCTTTCCTTCCCACCTTCTGTCTCCACCACCTTCTTTTTTTTTTCTTTTTTCTATAAGAACTCTTATAAGTGCCTGGAGGTGTAGCTGAAGAAGCCAGGGGGCCTAATTTTTGAACCAACCTCTGTTCTCACACTCCATCAGCTAAGACTGTGGTTCCAGGGCTGACACATGGTACAACACAGAGCAACTTCATGTCATCAGTTCATATGAATGCCTACCTCTCCGCCAGAGTTGTGCAGTGCACAGTCTGTGCAGCCATACTTGGCATGCTTGGTGGCCACCCTTCCTTTCCTTGCACAATGAGGGACTCTGACAAGTTGAGGAGTGATGTCCTTGCTCCTGGGTTTCTAACTAGCCCGAGTTATGTTCTGGCCAAATTCCTCCAGCTCCATCACCTTCAGGACCTTGAAATATAATTCCAGCCATCCTGGGCAAGGCTTGTAAGTGGGATAGAAATGGAGTAGAAATAGTCTCAGATCCCTACTCACTTAGAAGCAGGAGCCAAACTGGCCTGGTCATCTTTGGTCCCCAACTGTTCATTCTAGTTGGTGCTCAGATTCAATCCCCATGATGTTTCCTCATTCCCTGGCTGAGGTCACCCCTGCACCTGCTGACCAATTTCTTGGCTAGAGAACTGGACCAGCCTCCCTCTCCCTGCCCTCTCATCCTTGTCTCATTACATCTTCCCAAACCTAATCTGAGCCAAAGAGGCATTTCCTATACTTCTATGTAAAGGAAGGTACCTACCAGCTCTACAAAAGCCAACATACCTGCTTCCTTCATAAAACTTGCTGCTCCAGGAGGCCAAACACCAGCCCCCACAACCCCGGGTTAGTGATCACATAGGGAGTAGAGACCTTACTGATTGCAACTTTCATACATATGAGCATTTTTCTTGGGAGAGGGTCCATGGCTTTCATCAGCTATTTGAAAAAGTCCAAATGGGTTAAGAACCTTTGGAGTAGAGTGTTACATACCCTTTCATGGCTGAGAGGTAATCAACCATCTCTTTAGAATATAGGATCCCATTCCTTTATTTGTCAAATCCCATTCATTATCTGCCAGCCACTGCTCCAAGTCCTGGGGATACAGCAGCAAACAAAACAGGCAAATATCTCTGCCCACAGGGGACTTACTTTTCAGAGGCTAGAGACAGCCTAGGGCTGTATGAGGCATTAAAGATAGACTGATAGAAGATACTAAATTTTGAGCTCTATGAAGGTCTAAGAACTCGGTGAACTCTAGGAGTTCCAAGTTCTAAGAACTCTATGAAGTTCTAAGTTATGAACTCTATGGAGGTCCTAATATACAAGCTATTGATGGTGGTGGGCACAGAAGTAATGATGACAGTGGCCGTAGCAGGAGCTCAGGGGCCAGCCTGGGGCTTCCCCAAAGGAGACTTCTCACTGCTAAGCCAAGAGGCAGGGGTGGTGTGCCTATGATGAGCGGCACTGGTGAGGAGGCAGGTGTGGCCTATGATTGGCAGCCAGAACCACTGGACCTTTTGGGGCCCTGCTCCTTCAGCCCTACCTGCTGATGTCCAGCAGGAGGCCTGAGAGTCCCAGGCCAGGCCAGGCCAGGCTGGGGGCACAGGCTAGGATCTAGTCACCTTCTTCCCAGCTGGGAACCAGAACTAGGGTCTTCTTCCCAGAGTCAGAATAGGAGAGGTTTCCTCTCACAGATGTCCCTGATTGAAAGGGAATTGACTTTGTTCCTGGAGAGCATGCTTGTGTGTTTGGAGGCAGGGGTAGGGGGGCAGGGGTTCAGCCAAAGAGGGCACTTCTGGCAGATGGGGGCAATAGAAGCAAGTGTTCAAGCGAGTATGGCAGCTTGAACTGAAGGCCCCAGGCGGCTCAGCACTGGTGGGCAGGGGTGAGGAGAACGAGGCTGCAGAGGCCCATGGTCAGGAAGGGAAGGCCTGGAGAGCCCCGAGACCAGTCTATCAGAAAGGATCTCCTCTCAGCACAGACCTGGAATCTGCCCAGGCTGGAGAGGCTCCAGATATTTAGACGGTCCCAGGTGGGTCAGCAGGGATGAGAAACAGAGAGAGATCGCCCAGATCACCGATGAGTCTGTGAAAGAGGCAGGAAACCAGGCCTCTGAGTTCCCAGCCAGGGTCCTTCTACCACTGTCCATCCCAGGCAACAGACAGTGTTCATCCTCACTAGGAACATGCATACATGCAGGCTCACACTCTGCCCTGATAACCAGATGTGCCCTCCAGACACACCCACTCTGCTGCTGGGAATAGTGAGACTATTTACATGAAGTGGTAGCTGTACACATGACAAGAAAATATGGCCCAACTTTAAAGAGTGAAATGTGAGTAATTAGCAGGAAGACAATAATGGAAATTTGAGAGTCTAGACACCAGGGAGAGGCCAGCCAGCACGGGACCCGAGCACAGGACAGCGGGTAGGAGACCCCTCTTCTGGGGTCCCAGCATCAGAGGCAGACAAAAAACAGAAACAGAACTTTGGTCCAAAATTTTCAAAAAGAAAGCAACCCTGGAAGTTTAAGAGCACTTGTTCCCCTGGGCAGAGGGTGGTCAGGGTAAGGCATCTGGGGGTCTCAGATGAGCGGCCAAGGCCTGTGCCCCAGCCCATCACATCTGCCCTGCGGCTCGGAAAAAAGGAGCACAGTATGCGAGGTCATACAGAGCACACCTACCCTCTGGAGCCGTGCCAGGACTGGATACCACCACCCCTTAGCCTTCCAGAGGCAGAGCAGAGATGGGTGGGAGTGGTGAGGAGGAACAGGGGAGGCCAGAAAGGGAAGGAGGGGTAGTGGGCAGGACAATGGAGTTAGTGACCCAGACTGGCAGCCCACATGGCCCCCTTTAATCTTGATAGCACTTACACTGCTCCAGGAGCTAGGCCCTTTGCAGGAGTGTGAGTTCGATTGATGGATCTGTCTTTGGTCTTAGCTCAAGGAGAGGAACCTGCCCTCAGCTCTCACAGCTCCCATTCTGGTGAGAGTCTGAAGTCCTGGGCCCTTGGAGGCCCTTCTGCGTTTGGGGTGACCCCTGGCACTAGACTGTTGCCTGATCCCCTCTGCACACTCCAATGTAAGATGAACACGGCTCACCTCTGCCCCACACCCCGAGAGCCCCTGGAGGGACACTGCCTCCTCTGCTCCCAGAAGGGCCCCTCCCAGAGTCCAAGCCACCATTCGCAGGAGCTTTCCAGGGCCAGTGGGACCTCCAGGCAGGTCCAGTGGGATGGGAAGAAGCAGAGCCCACCACCCGCCCTCTGCCAAGTTGTGGTCCGAGCCCTACTGGCCCTCCTCTCTGTCAGAGGCCTCCGACTCCAGCCTGGCTCAGCCTCCAGCCCTGTCACCCGCCTGCCGCCGGTCCAAAGCCAGCCGGAGGGCGTGCCTCACAGTCTCCACATTGTTGAGAACGTTGTATCGACTCAGGGCTACCAGCCGATCAAACTCCCTGGGTTGATAGGTAAAGTTCATCATGCCATAGGGGGTGTCTAGACCATTGATGACAAAGTCTCCATCGGCCTTCTCCTCAGCTGTTTGCCGCTCTACACCTGCAGGTAGGAAGTGGAGGAGAGGCCAGGCTGGGCACTCTGTGGTTAGGAGCTGCCAGCCCAGAAAACCCCTTGCCCTCGGACACCTGGCCAGGCCCACAACTCAGCTTTCTCGCCCTGTGGGAGGAGCTGGGCCAGAGTGCCTGCTGAGGTCCAGGAAGCAGAGGGCAGCAGTGCCAGCTGGGGCCCTCCAGGAGGCAGGCTTTAATATGCTGTCCAGGGGAGCCAGTCTCAGGACAGCACCCCATCACCCTCCCAGGGCTCTGAAGGTGAGCCAGGCCCAGGACTTCCCCTCACCTGGGGCCAGGTATGTACGGAAGGTACGGTTGACAAGGGGAAAGTGCAGCACAATGGGAGAGCAGGGGTCCTTGGCCTTGGCAAACAGGTAGCACTCACGGGGCTCCTCCAGGTCCTCAGGGAGCACCTCAATCCTGGGGAAGGCAATGCCTCGGTCCAGGCAGTACTTCTCTGTCATCTGTAAGACCTGGGCAGGGAGGCAAACTCTGACCCTGCCCGCTCCTGGTCTCACACAGGCCCAGGCTTCACGCCAGCTGGGCCTCCTACCAGCTGAGTGACTTCAGTGAGGTGACAGCATCACCTCTCTGAGCCAGTGTCCTCATTCATAAAATAAAAATGAGAATAACTCTCTAGTGGGAGGTTGTGCAGATTAACAACTGCCACCAGCATTCTTGCCCTGACCACCTGCTGCGTCCTTCTCGGACCCCTCCTGCTCCCACTAGGGAGCTGATTTCAGTTTCACAAGGTGGAGACCGAATGAGTTCAGAAAGTCACGGTGGAAGAGGCTTTGTCGATCATCCCACCCCAGGCACTCCGCGGACCTGGCAGCAGGAGGAGGAGGAAGCCAAAGGGAAGGACTGGCCCAGCAGCACAACCAGAACCCACATCCAGTGGTAGAGCCTGTCCACACCTCACGGGATTTGATGGGGCTGCTGCTGGAGACGTCCTAAGGGGACCCTGATGGTTCTGCTGTTGCCATAGAAAGGAAGGGACAGCAGACCCAGACACAGGTCCTGAGGGGAGCGAGGAATGCTCTCAGAACCAGACAGGGTCCAGAACAAGGGCCCTGTCTTCACCAGCATGGAAGACTCCTGAGGACCCTCTTCAGCCTTCCCCCCTGACTCCCACTGCCTTCTATCACCTCAGTAATCCTCCTCCTCCACCGGGGCAGACAGCATCCCTAACAGTGTTCACAAGGCTGTCACCCACAGATCAGAGCCCAGCCCTCCATGAAGGGCGATCCCCAAACACCCAGCCAGGCCTCCTTGGCAGAGACGACCCCACTTCTCCCCCAACTTTACCTCAAAAGGGGCCTCCAGGGAGTAGTCGAAGGACAGAATGAGGTCCACTGATCTCTGTGGCAGCAGGCTCAGTGGGAACGGAGAGTTGATGGCGAAGCCCCCATCTACCAGGTACAGGCAGTCCCGCATGGGAGTGAGCTGGTTGGGGAAGCCGTCTGGGTGCGTGTCTGCACAGGGACGAATGCTTGCTTCATAGCAACCCTCTCCTCTTCGCACTGGGAATGCCCCTCTGTAGAGATCCCGACCCCGACACCCCCCCGCCCCGTCTCTCTACAGCCCCAGCGACCCACCCCCCAGCCTCCTGCCCCGCCTTGCAGCAGTCCTCACAGTCCTTCCCCTGCAGCTCCAGGTCCAAAGGCAGCCCAGATGCCAGGCCCCTGTGAGCCAGAGGCAGCGGCAGCAGGGGGGCCCCGGCCAGAGCAGCACCCACCTTTCCAAGCCACAAACTCCCTGCCAGCCACATAGTCCTTGTGCAGACAGAGGCCACTGGTGAAATTGAAGTTCTCTGCCGAGGTAAAGCGGGAGGTGAATATGTCCAGCACTGCCTGGGAGAAGGGCCCCTGGGGGGTGAAAAGCCTTGTCCGAAGCCGTGTGGGGTCATGCAGCTGGAGCTTGTGGCAGTCGTCTAGGTGGGGTGCAACAGTGAAAGAGAAGGGTGCCCTCCTTTGTCCAATGGCCCTTATGGCTCCAGTGAGCCCTCTCCATCCTGTCCCTTTACCCCTCCTCCTTCCCACCCAAACTTCCAGGCCTCTGACCACTGCTTCCCAGGATCCTTTATAAATGACTTTTTTTTTCATGTTTTGCAAGTTGCCTATAACATACATGTATTAAATAATAGTTTGTTTCTCACCTTTTTGAGAAAAAAGTTGTTCACACAACTTCCAATCAGAATTTATCCATTAAACACACACTAAGCAGTTTACTACATGCTGGGCTCTGTGCTAGGGATGCACAGGTAAATAGGACCCAATGCTGCCCTCCAGAGCTCACAGCCTCCTTAGGGGAGAGTCACAAGAAGAGATAATAAATGGTAACAACACCCTGAGGTAAGGACAAGGATGAGATGTACACACGGTCCCAGGGGACCTCAGTGGTAAGACCCTCAATCAGCTTGGAGGGATGGAGTGGAACAGGGAAGCCCTGATAAACAATGCTTGAGCTGAGCTAAGTCCTAACAACTGAGCAGATGTTATCAAGGGAAGCAAGGTGGGAAAGGTACTCTATGCAGCAGGAGGCTCATAGGCCATTCTAGAAGCAGCCTGAAGAGGAGCCGTGAGGTGTGTGAACAGAATATCAACCAGAGGCCCAGCAGTCCTGTGCTGAGTTGACCTAATTGGAGTCCAAACAGAGAATTCAGAGCATGGCCTTATTCCAGAGCATTCACAACAGCCACTGGGTCTTCTGACGTGGGCCTTCCCCCAGTCCCCTAACCACACCGCCTCTGCAGACCTCTGGGAAGCTAGAGACCCAAAGCTGGAAGTCATTTCCTTAGGACTTCTCTGAGCCCAGTGGGACAGCCAAGTACTTCACCACCCCCTCCCTCATTCTTTCTGCCTCTGCCGGGGACCTAATGCTGGAGAGAGCTATGTTGGGGGTCAGCATGTCTACCCTTACCTGTAATGTTCACACTGGCTCTGTGCCAGTCGAGGAAGCCAAGGCCTGAGCCAGCCGTCTTCAGGAAGATCTCATCCAGGCTGGCTGCAAAGGCGCTGCCCCACATACCTAAGGGGAAAAGCAAAGCCCTGGGGCCTTACAACTCCTGCACCCTGTACTGGGCCTGGCCCAACCCCAGCCCTATCTCCAGCCCTCTGGCCTAGACTCACCCTGCAGGTAGCAGATCCTGGGCTCAGGCCAGAGCTGCAGCAGACGCCCCATGAAGAACTCTGAGCCAAAGAGCTCGGTGGGAACATAAGCCCCATACTTGGGGAAGCCAACCTCATGGGGAGTGAACTCGCACCACTCTAGGGCCCAGAGTGAAGGGAATGTTAACAGGGGATTCCTGCCAGGACCCCAGAGTTTCCCCTGGACCTCGTGTCTGAGCAGGAATCTCTGCCTTGCCAAAAGCAGGAGGCAGCAACCCCATTGTGCTCCAAGGCTCCCATCTGCGCCCTGCACTCCCATCTAGCCCTGGCCTCTTACACACCCAACCGTCATCCCACCGGCTTCCTAGGTTCCACACAGGCACCTGCAAATTCTTCCCCACTGATGTTGGTGCGGACATTGACGCTGGCGTAGATGGGGTAAGGGTTCTGGCCCTGGCTGACTGCCTCCTGCTGGTCAGACAGCTTGGCAGGGTTTTCCTGGGCAGGAAGAAGGAAGGCTACTTGGACTTTTGGGAATTCCCTTTCCCCGTGCCTGTGGCCTGAGGCCCGACAACCCATGGTGTGTGGTGTGCCCAGAAGAGAAGGTGGTTGCCAAGACCAGTGCTCTAGAGACAGTGCCCTAGGGGACAGGCTTTAGGCTGCAGCAGAGATGAGGCCACCGTGGGTTTTGTGTAGTTCCAGGGGCACTGGGAATACTCTCCCCATTCTTTCCCATTCAAGGAAGTATCAGAACCCAAGAGAGGTAGGCTGACATTTTTGAAAGAATAACTGAAAATACAGTCTACTTTCTTTAAATCACTAGAAAACATGGGCTCTTTTCTTAGAAATGAAAATCACTTTTGATATACATCCATAACTGGTAGCCACATTGCAGTGGGCCAGGCCCTCAGGGCTGAGAAGCTTGCTCAGCTCTGAGCCTTCTCCTCTCCCAGCTCATGCTGAGCCTGCAGTTCTAGGAGTAGAACTCCCAGCTGTGGGAGTCACGGCTGCTTGGCCAAAGCCCCCGAGAGGCATTCTGCCTCAGCTGCAGGTTGGAATCACTTGGAACACTTTCAAAACACACCTGTGCTAGGGCTCAGCCCTCGACCAGCCCAAATCAGTGTCTCTGGAAGGGGGGCCCAGGCATGGGTGTATCTGAAAAGCTGCGTACGTCATACCAATAGGCAGATCCTGCTGAGGGCTGCAGACCAGGCTCTCCCTCCCCGGGGGTTAGGAGCCAGGAGCCGTGAAGTGGTGTCAGCCCACCCAGGGAGGGGAACCCTGGGGGATCAGTCCCTTTCTGCCTCTCCTAACCCTCTTGGAGGCAGGATCCCAGACCTAAGCAATAGCTCTGCCAGTCTCAGATCTTAGCCAGGCAGCTCAGGCAGAACTAAGTGCTGGTGGGGCAGGGGTGGGAAGGAGCCATGTTTATTTTATTGTTTGGATTTCTCGTACCTTCTCGTACAGGAAATATTCAACAAGGAGGCCCCAGAGGTCGATGAGGGAAACTCTGTGGCCACTGCTTTCACGGATGCCCAGCTCCTGGGCGTAGTATTGGAGGCGCTCTGTGGATATTGCCCCCATCTTACTGCTGCAGACCCGAGCCTGGGCACGCTCAATGGGACCCTGTAAAGCCACCTGGGACCAGGCCGGGTCCTCGTAGAGTGTGGAGATGCACCTGGGCAGGGAGGGAATGAGGGTCAGTTAGGGGCAGGGGAGCAGAGCAAGGGGAGAAAAGGATGCAGGTGTCTCTGAGCAACCCCTCCTCCCCATCTCCTGTACCCACTGCCCTGAACCACCCCAGTCAGGGGAACCCTGGGGGATCAGTCCCTTCCTGCCTCTCCTAACCCCCTTGGTGGCAGGATTCCAGCCCATCCCCACACCCTGCAGGGACCCCACCAGATCACCAGGTTATACCCCTGCCCCTTCAAGACTCTCCTTTGCACCCTGCGCCCACCTCACTTACCAGGTGGACCCAGAGATCCCACTCAGGTAGGTCACAGTGTCCAGGAGGCCGAGCTCCTGCAGCCCCGCCAGGCTGCCATACAGGGAAGACATGGCTCGGGTTCCACCTCCCGAACCCAGCACAGCCACCACAGGCACCTGGGCACAGGAAAACTCATGGTGATAACATCTACCACCACTGTTTACACATTATTGATCTAAGAGCCTTACAGGCATTACCTCACTGAATCTTCACAGCAACCCAGTGAGACCCCATTTTCAGATGAGGAACCTGAGGCATGGAAGTTTAGATAATGTGCCACAATCATACAGTTAGTAAGTGATGGGCCATCACACCATGCTCCAGAGACGGCTCCTAACCTTCATGCCAGGGAAGTATGTACCTGGCAGGTACACTGGGTTCACCCAAACAGCTAGAGAAGGGTTTCTTAATCTTGGCACCATGGGTAACTTTGGATGGACAGTTCTTTGCTGTGAGGAGCTGTCCTGTATGCAGTAGGGTGCTGAGCAGCATTCCTGGCCTTCACTCAGTAGATGCCAGTTGTATCCCTCTTCCTCTCCCCTTAGTCATGACAGTAAAACCTGTCTCTGGACATTGGCAGATGTCCCCTGGGTGGGAGGGGGGGAGTGGAATTGCCCCTAGTTGAGAACCACTGAGCTAAAGTGATGAAGAGCACCAAGCAACCTGGGCCTGCCCCAGTCAGGCGAGGCGCCCAGACATCCCTTCAGGATCAGAGGCGCCCGGTGGGATCAGGCTAGAAGCTTTTTGGTTGCTCAGCTTTTCCATGCAGGTTTGGCTCATTCTGCACCAGACTCTCCTTTCCTGTCCTCCTTCTTCTCCTGTCTTGGAAAGAAAGCTTCTTGGCCACTGCCCAGCACAGACACTGCCCTTCTGGGGGAGACGGAGCTCCCTGGAGGCAGGGTCAGTGCCCTCTTCACCTCTCCACAGAGGGGAGACCTGGCACACAGAGTGAGATCACCAAGCCATCCAGGCTTGCTCAGCTTACCAGTGCCGGGCACAGATCCTGAGGACCCTAGCAGCCGGGAGGACGCCTCCAACTGGTGGCCTGTGCAGATAATACACCACCTTGGCCACAGCTGTTCAGCCTTTATTATATATGCGGCCCTGACCCAGCTCAGGCTAACAGGTCTGCACCTGTTCTCCTCTGCTCCCAACACCTCCTCAAGGCTTTCAGTCACCTCTCAGCCACACAGTCCTCTCAAGGGAACAGCTGGACTTGATCAGTGACACTGGAGTCCGGCTCTTCTGCTCCATACCTGGCCACTGTCAGGGGCCTGGCTCAATCCGAGCACCTGCTGCAGGGCCTTGGACACAGTCTGCTTCCTCTTGTCCAGAAACTCCCGTTCCCCATCACAGAGGTCAAAGCCAAGGCGCAGGTCAAGGTCCCCAGAGCTGCCTCAGGTGGGGTGGGATTGGATACTGGGTCACTGTTCACTGGAGGAGAACCTCAGGCCAAGCCCGTTTCCACGGGAGCAGACCCACACTCCATGGAACCCCTCAGGAAGATCCCACTGGGAACTTCCCACTGGGAACCAGACATGCTGCTGGTGCCCCACCCAGACTGAGCGGGGTAGGCAGCCGAGCCCCCACATTTCCAGCCCACCGTCCTCGTTAAGTTAGCCCTCCTCACCTCACTCCTGCCATCATGCTCAGCGCTACCTTCTGGCCCTGAAAGAGACAACAGCATGGCCCCAGAGGGCCCTGAGGGCTTCCCCCCACTGCAGCCCCTGCTGCTCTGGCAACTCTGGCCCGGATGTGGACCACAGGCTGAGGGGATCCAGGTTGGCGTGATCTTGATCCCCTTGCAGGCCCCTCCCCCAGACATTTTTTAGGTGGTTACAGAGCAGTCAGGGGTCCCTCAGGACCCCAAAGAGAGCCTTACCTCCCCCAGGACCACAAAGCGCCGTTCCTCCTGGTCCAGGGCCAGAGAGGAGAGCAGGATGCTTCCCTCGCCCAGCGTGCTGATCTGGGACTCCAGCTCAGCATTCAGGCCGCTCTGCACAGAAGGGAACACCGGAGGAGCCCTCCACAGTGGAGGAAAACTTGCCTCCCCGGTGGCCCTCCGGCGCTCCCCCAGGCTGGACTGATTCTACCATGGCGCCCCTCACAGCCCGCTCCCAGGCTACAGGCTCACTCACCTGCAGGACAGTGAGCTGCTCCCCCAGCTCCACATCCAGCCTGGAGCTGAGCACTGGATTCACGTGGAAGGTAAAGGTGGCTGGGAGGCCTGCCTCCACAGAAGGCTCCAGGGGCAAGAGCTGAGGCTTCTCGTAGGCCCCAGGTACTGCCAGCTGAATCTGTCTAGAGCCTGGCAGCAGAGGGCCCACATGAGTGCCCAGGTGAGGGAGTGAGAGCAGGGGTGTGTGTGGCTCTTCATGGTAGCACCCAAGGAGCAATCCCCTTTCCTTTCTCTTTGAAGTGCCAACTCATGACCCTGCTCACTCTGGCACTGTGACCAATAATAGCAAAGGGACCATGAGGGACACCCAGGGTCCTATAACCTGCCCTGGTCAGAACTGGGAACCTGGGGCAGGATAGGAAACACACAATGCCTGGGGAAAAGGGAAATTCGGGGAGGGAGGAGCCCCCTGCCCATAGCTTATGGGGCTGATGACTTTGAGACTGTTACAAGTATATTAAAATATAATTATAAAATAATTACAATATTAAAAATACAATAGTACATTAATGACCAGTTTTCAACTATAGTTCCCTCATCTCTTGCCCCCATTCAAGCTCTGTGCTCACCACCTTGGGGAAGGTTTGTGGCCAGAGAGAAAGCAAATAGGCTGTAAGTTGTTCCGGCATTTGTTTCCAAAGCATAAGACCTTGGGAGAATAAAGAGGGTTTGCAGAGGAGGTGAAAGGGAGAAGTGGGTTCATGGGTCCAGAGGGACCAGGTGACATGGAAAAGCAGGGGAGAGCCAGTCCAGGCTAGATGCCTGGGGGTCTGCCCTGTTCCCAGCAGTTTTCTGGGGAGGGAGCAACACCCCAGAAAGAAATGGCTGTGCAGGACACCCAGGCAGAGGGGACCTGGGACAGCCTCAGAAAAGAGACCCTAACCCTAAACACAACTTGTGAGCAACAGATGCCCAAGAGTCCAAGATGGCAGATGCCTCGGGGGCAGAGGTCCAAATGGAATCCCTCTCTCTACACACCCTCTGTGGCACTGAGACCCAGAGACTTGGCATGACCTGAGGGTGGTAGGGAATTAGAGAAAATAAGGAGAGTGATACTTCTTTCACACCATGGTTTATGGACTGAGATTGAGACAGCCAGAAACAACACCGTCTGTGGCTTGAGAGGGCAAATGAGCCCCAGGAGTCACAGACGTGGGTCTGGTCCTGGCTCTACCACTTACTGGTTGTGTGACTTTAAGCAAATTTCTTCTTCAAGCCTCAGTCTCATGAATTAAAACAGAATAATGGTTGTACCTACTTTATGGGGTTGTTATGAGGATATAAAGATAAAACACATGTAAGAGGCTAGCACAGTGCCTGATAATAGTAACTCATGGATGTCGTCTGGACAGAACTCATCTGTAGGCACAGGCTCAGACTCAGTGTCGGAGGGTCCTGAGCTGTCACACAGCCTCCACTACCACTCCTGGGCCACCCCCTGACTCCCACCCCTGCCCCAAGTGGCTACTCTCTGATGGCAGACCACATCGGTGTCTCAGTTATTTACTTCTCCTGGAATTCTCCCTCTGCCATGGGGCTGCAGTTCCTTCTGCTAAGCGACCAGCTACATTCTCTGCCCTCCAGCCTTAGGGTCAGGTTGTGACTTGCTTTGGCTAACAAAATGTCAGCTAGGTGGCTGTGATGTGACCAAAAGCTTGAAAAGCACTTGTCTGTTTGGGCTTGCTCTTGGTCCTCTGCTGGTGCCTTAGAACATACCCTGGCTAGTCTGCTGGTTGCAGAAGGTAGACGATGGACATACGGCACAGAGCTAGGTCACTCCTGCCAAATCCAGCATAGATCAGCCATGCTCCAGCTGACTGACAGATGTGTACACTGAGTAAATGCTTCCTGTCATATGCCACTGAGGTTTTGGGGTGTTTTTTGCAGAGCAATAGTTGGACAGATACACCTCTATACTTGAGCAATTCCAGAGATAGGAAATTCACTACTTCCAGAGGCAATCTGTTTCATCCTTGGTCAGCTCTGAGCAGTGAAACATTGAAAAACTTTCTGCCCCAGACCCACCTTCTTGAAATCAGTAGCCCCCTTCAGGAAAGAAGGTAAGAACCAAGGCCACTGACCAGACTCACCATATTCTCGGTGTGGGGCTGTCCCATCTCCCTTGAGGGTGCCCTGGATTCTCAAACAGGGCTGAGCCTAAGGAAAGCAGGGCAAGACATTCCATAGGGCCCTGCACAGAGCCAAAACCAGGATGGAGGGAGGAATATCAGGCAGAGTCCAAGTAATGATGTTCCAAGAGCCTGTGCCTTGTCGACAGGGGTCTTCTGTTGCAGCACCACCCTGTCCCCTGCCCAGGACTCAGAGGAAGTGGCCCTAGCAGGAATGGGGAGGATTCGAGTGGCCCTAATAGTGACTCCTTCTGCAGTTTCAGAAGCATTGGTCCAAGGAAGCAATGCGTTGTACACAGGTAGAAGACTGTCTTCTGGTCTGTGCCTCAGGCATGAGGCAGCTTCTGCCCCTCATTCCTGGAGATACCTCCCTAGCACATTCAGTGGGCATGATGGGCTTAACTTGGACTCCTCACTGCCCCCCAGCCCTGGGCAGTCCCAAGCCCACCTTCCCTACTCACCACCAGGACCCCATTGGTGATGACTTCAGACGCAGGCACCTGGCTGCAAAGGAAGAGGGAGCTCATGGGACATCTGGCCCCTCCACATGGGTATTACTATAATGTGACCAAGGCAGCTGGAAGAGTCTGGGGAGCATGGCAGGATTTGGGGTAGGGGTGAGCCTGCTGGCCAACACTCAAATAGGCTTCAAGACCAGGACATCTCCTTTCAGGTCAGGCCAGCACAGGATCTGGTGACTGACAACTGGAGCTGTCTGTGAGTCTCAAAGTAAATGGGAGGGCAGGGGCACCACCTGTACTCACCTGTTCTCCAGAACAAATTCTACCTGCAGCTCTTGTGAATCCTACAGAGCAAGGGAGCATGTTTTCAAAAAACTCTGACAGTGTCAGGGACCAGCCCTGCCCCCAAGTCCTGCTCTGCTCCGGGATCAAGAAGAGGAGACTGTTGTTATGGCTTCTCAGGGGCACAGGTGGGGTAACGGCATCTCCACAAGGAGTGTTATCCATTCAACACTGTGTGTCAGGCACTGTTCTAGACACTGACGATTCAGCAGTGACTGAGAGAGAGCACTCGGCCTTCCCACATTGGCTCCACGCAAGGAAGGAGTACTGGAGGGAAACCTTTGTAGGGTCAGTGGTGCAGGGTGGAGGAGGGGCTGTCTTGGAGCCTGGCCTGTGCTGACCTGGAGCCCCAGCCTCGGTGCCCTGCACTGGGCCTCTTCTCCTTGAGCTTGGTTCATTGCTGGCCCAGGTGCTGGCTCACCTGGTGGTTGAGTGGGAAGGTGTGTCTGTGGGGTTGGCCGGGCTTGAGGCTCCCAAGGTCAAACAGCAGAAGGCAGAGCTGGTTGCTGCCCAGGATGTCCTTGTCATAGAGGGTGATCTCCAGGACATTCTGGGAAGAGGGCAGGCAGGAGGTGGGAGCCTGAGGCAGGGCAGGAAGGCAGGTCCCCCAGAGGAGCCCTCTTCCTCTGCCGACCGGCTCCATGCTGGCCCTCACCTTCACAGCACCATGGATCTTGTAGTGGAAGGTCTCGTTCCACTCAGGGTCACTGCAGTTGGCTATCACCCTTGTCTGGGCAGGATTAGGGGATGCCGTGGGCAGCCATAGGTGCACATAGCAGTCAGCTTTAGACACTGTGGGAGAGGGAGGGGTCCTCAGCCTCCAGCTCTCACTGCTGAAAAGGGTGCCTGGAGGCAGCTGGGGCAGGAGGGGAAGGAGCAGAGGGGGCGTGGGGGCTGCCCATATGGCAGGGTGGGGAGGGGAGATGAGGGGAGAGCCCACTTCCTGGGCCAGTTACAACTCCCATTCAGCTGAATAGAATCCCACAGCAGCCAGTTGAAAAGACCACATGGCAGCACAGACCAGTGAGTGATTGCCAGAAAGGGCCTGATTCAGGCATGAAGTTCCCACGGGCACACTGGTGTGGAAAGCTCCTGGAGAGCAGATGTTGCCTTTTGGCAATTGTGGGCCTCACATGCTCACCCAGCTTGGCCCCGTCCCACTTCCTACACTCAGGGAGGAGTCCGAGGTCCACCCAATGCTCCCCTCCAGCCCCTGCCTGCCCATCCACCAGGGAAGCCTCACTCCGCAGTCAGCACCCTCCCCTCTACCCCACTCCAAATACATGCACACTTTGACCCCATCCTTCCTGAGCTCTGGGGAGGCCACTCTCCTTTGCACCCTGCGCCCACCTCACTTACCAGGTGGACCCAGAGATCCCACTCAGGTAGGTCACAGTGTCCAGGAGGCCGAGCTCCTGCAGCCCCGCCAGGCTGCCATACAGGGAAGACATGGCTCGGGTTCCACCTCCCGAACCCAGCACAGCCACCACAGGCACCTGGGCACAGGAAAACTCATGGTGATAACATCTACCACCACTGTTTACACATTATTGATCTAAGAGCCTTACAGGCATTACCTCACTGAATCTTCACAGCAACCCAGTGAGACCCCATTTTCAGATGAGGAACCTGAGGCATGGAAGTTTAGATAATGTGCCACAATCATACAGTTAGTAAGTGATGGGCCATCACACCATGCTCCAGAGACGGCTCCTAACCTTCATGCCAGGGAAGTATGTACCTGGCAGGTACACTGGGTTCACCCAAACAGCTAGAGAAGGGTTTCTTAATCTTGGCACCATGGGTAACTTTGGATGGACAGTTCTTTGCTGTGAGGAGCTGTCCTGTATGCAGTAGGGTGCTGAGCAGCATTCCTGGCCTTCACTCAGTAGATGCCAGTTGTATCCCTCTTCCTCTCCCCTTAGTCATGACAGTAAAACCTGTCTCTGGACATTGGCAGATGTCCCCTGGGTGGGAGGGGGGGAGTGGAATTGCCCCTAGTTGAGAACCACTGAGCTAAAGTGATGAAGAGCACCAAGCAACCTGGGCCTGCCCCAGTCAGGCGAGGCGCCCAGACATCCCTTCAGGATCAGAGGCGCCCGGTGGGATCAGGCTAGAAGCTTTTTGGTTGCTCAGCTTTTCCATGCAGGTTTGGCTCATTCTGCACCAGACTCTCCTTTCCTGTCCTCCTTCTTCTCCTGTCTTGGAAAGAAAGCTTCTTGGCCACTGCCCAGCACAGACACTGCCCTTCTGGGGGAGACGGAGCTCCCTGGAGGCAGGGTCAGTGCCCTCTTCACCTCTCCACAGAGGGGAGACCTGGCACACAGAGTGAGATCACCAAGCCATCCAGGCTTGCTCAGCTTACCAGTGCCGGGCACAGATCCTGAGGACCCTAGCAGCCGGGAGGACGCCTCCAACTGGTGGCCTGTGCAGATAATACACCACCTTGGCCACAGCTGTTCAGCCTTTATTATATATGCGGCCCTGACCCAGCTCAGGCTAACAGGTCTGCACCTGTTCTCCTCTGCTCCCAACACCTCCTCAAGGCTTTCAGTCACCTCTCAGCCACACAGTCCTCTCAAGGGAACAGCTGGACTTGATCAGTGACACTGGAGTCCGGCTCTTCTGCTCCATACCTGGCCACTGTCAGGGGCCTGGCTCAATCCGAGCACCTGCTGCAGGGCCTTGGACACAGTCTGCTTCCTCTTGTCCAGAAACTCCCGTTCCCCATCACAGAGGTCAAAGCCAAGGCGCAGGTCAAGGTCCCCAGAGCTGCCTCAGGTGGGGTGGGATTGGATACTGGGTCACTGTTCACTGGAGGAGAACCTCAGGCCAAGCCCGTTTCCACGGGAGCAGACCCACACTCCATGGAACCCCTCAGGAAGATCCCACTGGGAACTTCCCACTGGGAACCAGACATGCTGCTGGTGCCCCACCCAGACTGAGCGGGGTAGGCAGCCGAGCCCCCACATTTCCAGCCCACCGTCCTCGTTAAGTTAGCCCTCCTCACCTCACTCCTGCCATCATGCTCAGCGCTACCTTCTGGCCCTGAAAGAGACAACAGCATGGCCCCAGAGGGCCCTGAGGGCTTCCCCCCACTGCAGCCCCTGCTGCTCTGGCAACTCTGGCCCGGATGTGGACCACAGGCTGAGGGGATCCAGGTTGGCGTGATCTTGATCCCCTTGCAGGCCCCTCCCCCAGACATTTTTTAGGTGGTTACAGAGCAGTCAGGGGTCCCTCAGGACCCCAAAGAGAGCCTTACCTCCCCCAGGACCACAAAGCGCCGTTCCTCCTGGTCCAGGGCCAGAGAGGAGAGCAGGATGCTTCCCTCGCCCAGCGTGCTGATCTGGGACTCCAGCTCAGCATTCAGGCCGCTCTGCACAGAAGGGAACACCGGAGGAGCCCTCCACAGTGGAGGAAAACTTGCCTCCCCGGTGGCCCTCCGGCGCTCCCCCAGGCTGGACTGATTCTACCATGGCGCCCCTCACAGCCCGCTCCCAGGCTACAGGCTCACTCACCTGCAGGACAGTGAGCTGCTCCCCCAGCTCCACATCCAGCCTGGAGCTGAGCACTGGATTCACGTGGAAGGTAAAGGTGGCTGGGAGGCCTGCCTCCACAGAAGGCTCCAGGGGCAAGAGCTGAGGCTTCTCGTAGGCCCCAGGTACTGCCAGCTGAATCTGTCTAGAGCCTGGCAGCAGAGGGCCCACATGAGTGCCCAGGTGAGGGAGTGAGAGCAGGGGTGTGTGTGGCTCTTCATGGTAGCACCCAAGGAGCAATCCCCTTTCCTTTCTCTTTGAAGTGCCAACTCATGACCCTGCTCACTCTGGCACTGTGACCAATAATAGCAAAGGGACCATGAGGGACACCCAGGGTCCTATAACCTGCCCTGGTCAGAACTGGGAACCTGGGGCAGGATAGGAAACACACAATGCCTGGGGAAAAGGGAAATTCGGGGAGGGAGGAGCCCCCTGCCCATAGCTTATGGGGCTGATGACTTTGAGACTGTTACAAGTATATTAAAATATAATTATAAAATAATTACAATATTAAAAATACAATAGTACATTAATGACCAGTTTTCAACTATAGTTCCCTCATCTCTTGCCCCCATTCAAGCTCTGTGCTCACCACCTTGGGGAAGGTTTGTGGCCAGAGAGAAAGCAAATAGGCTGTAAGTTGTTCCGGCATTTGTTTCCAAAGCATAAGACCTTGGGAGAATAAAGAGGGTTTGCAGAGGAGGTGAAAGGGAGAAGTGGGTTCATGGGTCCAGAGGGACCAGGTGACATGGAAAAGCAGGGGAGAGCCAGTCCAGGCTAGATGCCTGGGGGTCTGCCCTGTTCCCAGCAGTTTTCTGGGGAGGGAGCAACACCCCAGAAAGAAATGGCTGTGCAGGACACCCAGGCAGAGGGGACCTGGGACAGCCTCAGAAAAGAGACCCTAACCCTAAACACAACTTGTGAGCAACAGATGCCCAAGAGTCCAAGATGGCAGATGCCTCGGGGGCAGAGGTCCAAATGGAATCCCTCTCTCTACACACCCTCTGTGGCACTGAGACCCAGAGACTTGGCATGACCTGAGGGTGGTAGGGAATTAGAGAAAATAAGGAGAGTGATACTTCTTTCACACCATGGTTTATGGACTGAGATTGAGACAGCCAGAAACAACACCGTCTGTGGCTTGAGAGGGCAAATGAGCCCCAGGAGTCACAGACGTGGGTCTGGTCCTGGCTCTACCACTTACTGGTTGTGTGACTTTAAGCAAATTTCTTCTTCAAGCCTCAGTCTCATGAATTAAAACAGAATAATGGTTGTACCTACTTTATGGGGTTGTTATGAGGATATAAAGATAAAACACATGTAAGAGGCTAGCACAGTGCCTGATAATAGTAACTCATGGATGTCGTCTGGACAGAACTCATCTGTAGGCACAGGCTCAGACTCAGTGTCGGAGGGTCCTGAGCTGTCACACAGCCTCCACTACCACTCCTGGGCCACCCCCTGACTCCCACCCCTGCCCCAAGTGGCTACTCTCTGATGGCAGACCACATCGGTGTCTCAGTTATTTACTTCTCCTGGAATTCTCCCTCTGCCATGGGGCTGCAGTTCCTTCTGCTAAGCGACCAGCTACATTCTCTGCCCTCCAGCCTTAGGGTCAGGTTGTGACTTGCTTTGGCTAACAAAATGTCAGCTAGGTGGCTGTGATGTGACCAAAAGCTTGAAAAGCACTTGTCTGTTTGGGCTTGCTCTTGGTCCTCTGCTGGTGCCTTAGAACATACCCTGGCTAGTCTGCTGGTTGCAGAAGGTAGACGATGGACATACGGCACAGAGCTAGGTCACTCCTGCCAAATCCAGCATAGATCAGCCATGCTCCAGCTGACTGACAGATGTGTACACTGAGTAAATGCTTCCTGTCATATGCCACTGAGGTTTTGGGGTGTTTTTTGCAGAGCAATAGTTGGACAGATACACCTCTATACTTGAGCAATTCCAGAGATAGGAAATTCACTACTTCCAGAGGCAATCTGTTTCATCCTTGGTCAGCTCTGAGCAGTGAAACATTGAAAAACTTTCTGCCCCAGACCCACCTTCTTGAAATCAGTAGCCCCCTTCAGGAAAGAAGGTAAGAACCAAGGCCACTGACCAGACTCACCATATTCTCGGTGTGGGGCTGTCCCATCTCCCTTGAGGGTGCCCTGGATTCTCAAACAGGGCTGAGCCTAAGGAAAGCAGGGCAAGACATTCCATAGGGCCCTGCACAGAGCCAAAACCAGGATGGAGGGAGGAATATCAGGCAGAGTCCAAGTAATGATGTTCCAAGAGCCTGTGCCTTGTCGACAGGGGTCTTCTGTTGCAGCACCACCCTGTCCCCTGCCCAGGACTCAGAGGAAGTGGCCCTAGCAGGAATGGGGAGGATTCGAGTGGCCCTAATAGTGACTCCTTCTGCAGTTTCAGAAGCATTGGTCCAAGGAAGCAATGCGTTGTACACAGGTAGAAGACTGTCTTCTGGTCTGTGCCTCAGGCATGAGGCAGCTTCTGCCCCTCATTCCTGGAGATACCTCCCTAGCACATTCAGTGGGCATGATGGGCTTAACTTGGACTCCTCACTGCCCCCCAGCCCTGGGCAGTCCCAAGCCCACCTTCCCTACTCACCACCAGGACCCCATTGGTGATGACTTCAGACGCAGGCACCTGGCTGCAAAGGAAGAGGGAGCTCATGGGACATCTGGCCCCTCCACATGGGTATTACTATAATGTGACCAAGGCAGCTGGAAGAGTCTGGGGAGCATGGCAGGATTTGGGGTAGGGGTGAGCCTGCTGGCCAACACTCAAATAGGCTTCAAGACCAGGACATCTCCTTTCAGGTCAGGCCAGCACAGGATCTGGTGACTGACAACTGGAGCTGTCTGTGAGTCTCAAAGTAAATGGGAGGGCAGGGGCACCACCTGTACTCACCTGTTCTCCAGAACAAATTCTACCTGCAGCTCTTGTGAATCCTACAGAGCAAGGGAGCATGTTTTCAAAAAACTCTGACAGTGTCAGGGACCAGCCCTGCCCCCAAGTCCTGCTCTGCTCCGGGATCAAGAAGAGGAGACTGTTGTTATGGCTTCTCAGGGGCACAGGTGGGGTAACGGCATCTCCACAAGGAGTGTTATCCATTCAACACTGTGTGTCAGGCACTGTTCTAGACACTGACGATTCAGCAGTGACTGAGAGAGAGCACTCGGCCTTCCCACATTGGCTCCACGCAAGGAAGGAGTACTGGAGGGAAACCTTTGTAGGGTCAGTGGTGCAGGGTGGAGGAGGGGCTGTCTTGGAGCCTGGCCTGTGCTGACCTGGAGCCCCAGCCTCGGTGCCCTGCACTGGGCCTCTTCTCCTTGAGCTTGGTTCATTGCTGGCCCAGGTGCTGGCTCACCTGGTGGTTGAGTGGGAAGGTGTGTCTGTGGGGTTGGCCGGGCTTGAGGCTCCCAAGGTCAAACAGCAGAAGGCAGAGCTGGTTGCTGCCCAGGATGTCCTTGTCATAGAGGGTGATCTCCAGGACATTCTGGGAAGAGGGCAGGCAGGAGGTGGGAGCCTGAGGCAGGGCAGGAAGGCAGGTCCCCCAGAGGAGCCCTCTTCCTCTGCCGACCGGCTCCATGCTGGCCCTCACCTTCACAGCACCATGGATCTTGTAGTGGAAGGTCTCGTTCCACTCAGGGTCACTGCAGTTGGCTATCACCCTTGTCTGGGCAGGATTAGGGGATGCCGTGGGCAGCCATAGGTGCACATAGCAGTCAGCTTTAGACACTGTGGGAGAGGGAGGGGTCCTCAGCCTCCAGCTCTCACTGCTGAAAAGGGTGCCTGGAGGCAGCTGGGGCAGGAGGGGAAGGAGCAGAGGGGGCGTGGGGGCTGCCCATATGGCAGGGTGGGGAGGGGAGATGAGGGGAGAGCCCACTTCCTGGGCCAGTTACAACTCCCATTCAGCTGAATAGAATCCCACAGCAGCCAGTTGAAAAGACCACATGGCAGCACAGACCAGTGAGTGATTGCCAGAAAGGGCCTGATTCAGGCATGAAGTTCCCACGGGCACACTGGTGTGGAAAGCTCCTGGAGAGCAGATGTTGCCTTTTGGCAATTGTGGGCCTCACATGCTCACCCAGCTTGGCCCCGTCCCACTTCCTACACTCAGGGAGGAGTCCGAGGTCCACCCAATGCTCCCCTCCAGCCCCTGCCTGCCCATCCACCAGGGAAGCCTCACTCCGCAGTCAGCACCCTCCCCTCTACCCCACTCCAAATACATGCACACTTTGACCCCATCCTTCCTGAGCTCTGGGGAGGCCTCAGGAAAAGGAAGGGAGAAAGGATGGAGAGGGGATCACTCACACAGATCTGTGCCCTGGACATTCCTGGCCTTCAGCACCTTCACCTGGAGGTCATAGTATGGGTGGGTTTCCCGCTGAAACAACAGAACTTTTAGGATTCAGCACTAGGACACTGGGTGTGGGTTCTGAGCCCTCCCTGCTGTAGTGCCCAGCTCAGGTTTCCCTCATCCCTGTGCAGAGCAGCAGCCTAGCCCAGGGTCACTCGTGTCACTGTGCTGGAGACCCGGGAGGCCGTGGCAGGGCCCAGGCCGTGGGAGTTCAGCATGTTGGTGATGTGTGCAGACCCTGAAGTCAGGCTGGGTTCAAATTGAAGCTCTGCCAGGGATTCAATGAATGGCCTTGGGCAAGTTACTTGATTTCCCTGTACTTCGGTTTCCCTATCTAAATGGCGGTAATGATAATTTCATAGGGTTGTGGTTTTAAATGAGACCTATAAACTGCCTGGCTTTCTTCCTTAATACACATAACCATTTTTACTAATCGTGGTTATTATTCACCACAGATTTACAGCTCTCCTGACTAGCATGCCATTGCCGTGGCTTGAGAGCCCAAGTGAGAGCTGGAGTAAGTACTTCAGGAGATTAAAGATTAAGGGAGCGAACAGAGTTCAACCCCACCTACCAGTTCCCTGAGAAAAGGCTAATCTGCCTAGGAGGCCTCCCGCAGGTGCAGGTAAACCAGGTGTCATCCAGCTCATACTGGTCTGGCAGGTCGCTAAGGAGTCTGCAGCGTGGGCTCAGGAGAGGTAAGAACAGACTGCAGCCTCCTGGGGGTGAGACTGTCCCTTCAAAATCCCAGTGAGTGCCTTTTTTTCTTTCCCCCAGTGGCTTCTTCAGCCAGGCTAAGGGCATTCTGTGCAACCCAGCCAGCTGCAAATGTCACATGACCTTGCCCTCCACTCCTAATTGAGGGAGGGAAGGATTATTTTCAAAAGCCAAGGTTTTAGCCAACATAATTTAAGCTCTGCCTGCTTGGCTGGAGCAAATTGGTCCCAAGTCAGATCAAAACCCATTCCTAGGCAGTTCTCAGTCTTCACAGGGGGCCACTTCCAGGACTCCTCCGGTCCATGACCCAGGGAAGATCAGGTACTTTACCTGCCATTGCCTCCACTGAGGTCCCTGCTTCTCTCTTTTCCGTAGCAGCACTGCCCCCAGGAGGGGCAGCCCCTTGCCTGTCAGCCACCTGGGCCAGAGCATCCAGAGCATGGCCGGCAGCCCACCTCCCAGCAGGAAGCCCTGCCTGCTTTCCAGAGCCACTCTGCTCTCCTATGGCTACACTCCCTGCTCGCTCAGGGCTGACAGGGAGCAATGGGGTGGGGAGGGTGGAGCTGGGTGTTCTGCTGAGGACTTGGTGCTGGGTGGCCTGTTGGGGCTGGAGGTGGGGTTTGACGTGCTCCAGGAAGTGACTGGAGCCCAATTTCCTCAGGCAGGAGACACTTAAGTCCCTTTCAGAGAGGATGAGGAACTAGCACACTGTCTTCCAGACTCAGACCCTGGATATCATTGGACTGCTAATGGAAAATAGGTATCTGACTTAGTGGGTGGGGGTAGAACCCAGGTGCTCATGTTTCCAGCAAGTCTTCTACATGATGCACACGTGGGCAGCCCAGGGAAAAGCACCCAGAAGTACTACAGCAGGGGCTTAATCTCTTCCAGCTATCAAAAAGCCTAAACCAAACCAACCTTCCCCAAGGCTCTTAAGCAGAAACATGGACATCTCTGGTTCAGTTTCTCTGGACTCAAGGTGTTTCTAATGTCTTGTGGCCTCCTTCAAACACTGAGAGCTTGCTGTATGCCAAACCCACACTAGGCCCTGGAACCCAAGGTAGGAGGGCCCATCTACATGCTGAAGAAATCCACAGCCGCATGCCTCTCTGTGGCTTCTGCCCAGGCCTTCCTCTTGGATCAGTGGGAACACCTGGACGGTCCAAGTGCAGAGGCAGGGCTCTGTTTGGGTGGTATTGATAAGGGCAGGTGAAAGGCTCTCTGGGCAGTGAGCTGTCGGGAGATACATTTCTGTTCCTTGTCCAATAGTTACCTCCATTCTCCTCCCCAGGGCCTGAGGCAGAGATGGAAAGAACAACATCCAAAAAAGAGGCGATTCAACTCTACAACAAAGCCTGTGGGCAAGTTCAGACCAGAAACTCCCAAAACAAAAGGGGATATGACTGTCCTTGGCTGGGCCCCAAGCATGAAGCCAAGACCTGTGCTGGAGTCTCAGAAATGTCAGGGTCCAACCCCCTTGGTGATCTGTGTATGCCATGTACAGGGGACCCTGGGATCTGCACCACAGGACCTGAGGGGTAGGGGGCAAGGGGCAGGGGCATGGAGCTAGCTGGGCAGATCAACTGCCTGATTTCTGGCCTGTATCATACTTTCTTCCGGAAGTCTTCTGGCTCAATAAAGTCATACCTCTTAGGTGCAGATGGTTTTCATTCCCAGAGGAAAGTCAGAACAATGGGTAGTTTAAAAGGGGGGCACAGAAGGCCCAAATCACCTTCTTGAAGATGGCCAAAGCAGACCAACACTTCTCCACTTCTTGAGGGACATCCCTGGGTCCCTCGGTCCCACCAATCCCATACCGCTCATGACCCTCCCAGGCATTATGAGCTTCACTTCACTTAATACGTGAAGTGAAAGGGGAAACAGTTTGGATTAGCTAGAGTTCCAGCGTGTCCAGTGTAACCCGGTGATGCTGGAATTGTTCTGTAGCTGGGCTGTTACTACATCAGCCACCAGCCATACTAGCTGAGCTGGATGGCATAGATAGAAGCATACATGACAGAGATGTTAACATTTTTTTTTTTTTTCTTAGTCACTAATTGGCTTATTCTCAATTCTTAGCTAAATTCTTATTGTCTCACTGTTATTTTCATCAAATCCCACAGGAAGAGGGAGAAAGAGATCCAAATAGGCATAGTTTCTTACTTTATGGTGTTTATTATGAGATCCTCATCAGTCCTCACTACAGACCTTTCACCTGGAGCTTTCTCCATACCTCCATGCGGGGCAGAGAGAGTCCAGGGAAAGAAGAATGGAGTTGGGGAAAACTGGGTTGTTCATGTTTTCCAGAAGGGAGAAAACACACATTTTTTATTCTATTGCTTCAAACACATGTGCCACACAGGTAGTGGGAATGGAAGATATAAACACGGCAGGCCAGGAAGGCAGGCTTTGTGTGGTGGGGCAAGTTTCTGCTGTACAGCAGAGGGCTGGCCCAACGACTTTACTGCTGCTCCCAAAGGAAGTTCCTCTGAGCTGGCAAACAGGGCCAAGGGCAGCAGAGCCTCTCATGAGTGGGCGTGGCCAGCCGGATGTAGCTCTTGTTAAGTACAGGAGATCCCCATGTGTCTGTGAATGCTGATGACCACACACTGTCCCTCAGACCATCCATGGACAGTATGGCTCACAGGAGCCTCGTCTACCACAACTCAGGCCAAAACAGTGTGGTGCTGTGGTTTTAAAGGGATCACAGCATGTCCTGGCCAGGCCATAAAGCAGTGTCAGTGTTGGGCACTGTCACCCACCCTCACTACCATTAAAGACACTGGGGCAATAGGACTGTTTTGTCTACAAAACCCCGAGGGTGGCTCGTCCTGTGTCCTCTGCCTACAGGGTGTCCACAAGTGCTCGATGAATGGTGGCGGTGATGTATTTCCTAACCCCACAGGCTGCTCCAGCCTCCTGCAGCACACTTGGCTGTCCTCTGGCACCACCTGAGCAGGCCTGACAGCATGTACCTGTCAGTTCCTGATTTGACTGGTCCCTGTGTGTAGCAGAGATCCACCCACCTCCAACACAACACCCCAGGACAGTCCTCCAGCCTCTGCAAAACAAAACTGGAGACCGATGGCCCAGGCAAGCTGTGAGGTAAGCGGGTAAAACCAGCTGGAAAAAGAAGGGAGCCCAAAGCACACAGCTTTCCAGACAGAGGCTACACCGACATGCTCTGGGTGGCTGGTGGGTGACTGGGAGCGGGAGCCCTGTGGACATCTGCCTACAAGGTCATGTGCCTAGTGCAGTCTGTCCTTAGAGCTCCCATTATACTTGGCCCAAGGGGACAGAGAAGGACACTGAGGCTAAGCTTCTGGGCCTAGAGCTTACAGTCCAAGGAGGATCTATTTACAACATATCTGGCAATCACTTATCAATGTATTCCTACACACTGAGACTTCCCCTTGTTTCTCATTTTACCTTGCTTTAAGTATTAGTTATTCCCAGTGCCAGGAAAATGGGTGAGAAAGCCAGGGTGAGGTGGTTCTTGAGAAACAAAGAAGATAAATAGAAAGAAATAGAGACTGAAAAATAAAGGGACAAGCAGGGAGATTACTGGGGTGGGGGGCACGGGGCACAGTGATGACGGAGAAATGACTCATTATCCAGAGAAAGAGCGTTTGGCCTTCGTGGCTGGGGGAGCCCTAGCACCAAACCCCTCACGGGGCTCCAGGCAGCCATGCTGGTGGCCCCTTAAGTCCAGCATGTGTCTTAACAGAAAACTGTGAATAAACAACCTGAGGTTACGAACACTCAGGACAGTTTCCTTACTCAAGTGATTGGTATGCAAAGGGAAGACAGTGCCCTTTCCCACCAACTCCTGTCCAGGCAGGTATTAAATTCTCTAGAATTGCCTGCAACATAATGGTATGTAAGGTGTAACTAATCTCTGTTTCTTGAAAAGCTGGCAAAACACCAGACCACAAGTCTGATGAATTCAAAGATGTTCCAGGGTGCAAAGTAGCCAGTAGTGTCGAAATGGGGAGACACCTGGTGGTAGCAGCTGCCCAGTTACTGAGGCCAGTGCTCCTTCCTGTTTGATAGCCAGGCTGTCGTTCTGCTGAATCCTTGGCATGCTGGGCTCAGGTGTCAGCCGGGTTTACTCCTTTGGAACAGAAGTAGTGCACGACCACGCCATTGGGGTATCTTGCAAATGCACTGTAGGGAAGTAAAATGACTCCAGGTTGAGGACCCCTCTGAGAGAAGACCCCTTCTTACCTGGGAAAGACACCTCACCCAGGTGAGCATCCCAAAGGCAGCCCCCCAAATCAGAGAAATAGACTGCCCCTGGGGTCTCTGGATTTACACAGACACCACCATCTCTGTCAAATAAACAGAATGAGTTGCATGCAGAGTGCATGGTGGTATTTCTTATTAAGCCATCAATGTGAAGTGCATGGGAAAGGGGTGCGGGGGGCCAGCACACTGGCCAGGCTCAGCCCTGGCTGAGAGCTGCCGATGCGCATCAGAACATGCTTCATGCTAATTCTAACAAGGGACAGTAAGGAGGGCTTCCTAAAGAAAAGGATTCTTCAGCTATAGAAGAAAAAGGACAAATCATACTCCTTCGGAGGAGAGGGGAATGACTAGAGTATGTGCCTTAAAACAAAATGGTGGAGAGAACCAAGATGGCGGCGTGAGTAGAGCAGCGGAAATCTCCTCCCAAAACCATATGTATTTTTGAAAATACAACAAATACAACTAATCCTAAAAGAGAGACCAGAAGACACAGGACAACAGCCAGACCACATCCACACCTGCGAGAACCCAGTGCCTCGTGAAGGGGGTAAGATACAAGCTGCGGCCCGGCGGGACCCGAGGCCCCTCACCCCAGCTCCTGGCAGGAGAGGGGTTGAAGCTGGGAGGGAGAGGAATCCCAGGACTGCTAATCATTCAGCCCCAGTCATCTGCACAGGAGCGTAGACACACAGTGCGTGCGTGGGGTGCTGGAAACTAGGGAAACAGGACAGTAAGACCTGTGAGTGGGTCCCTGCAACCGGCGCACCCGGGACAAAGAAAAGCAAGTGCTTTTTGAAAGTCTTAAAGGGACAGGGACCTCACAGCTGGACGGAAGTGCCACGGGACACAGCCCAACAGCTGTGAATCCCGGGGAACTCTGGGCCCCCAAACCCCCGCAGCGCAGCTTGGAGGCCCCTCACCGCGATAAACAGCCTCCCGCCTGTTTCCCCTCTGACGCGGCTCAGCCATATTGGAGCAGCAGCCTGAGGCAGACCATGCCCACAGCAACTGCAGAGCTAAA